CCTATGTTTAATGCTTTAAATCAAATCCTCATTAACCCTACCTGTTCTCACTGCTTCCATATTATTTATCTTCCACATTGCCACCACAGTGTTCTTTCAAAACACGAACCTTATCAGTCAACTACTCTGCTTAAAACCTTCCGTTATTCTTAGTCATACAGATTAAATTTCAAGTGTTTTGGTTTTTTTTTTCTAGCTGCCTAAATGACCCCTTCTCTTTTAAAAGGGAAAAAAAAATCTTATATAGCAACTCAGCTCAGCCAATAAATGGTGTAGAACGGCTCTGGTTGAAATCGTGTGGAGAACGAGGCCCCCAACTCAGCCAGGTGGATCCCTCCCCTTCCCTGATGGGAGGCCCCAAAAACCTTTCCCAGGACCCCTTGTACTACAATTGGAAACACCTACCCAGCAGTTGGTCTGGAACTCAGGAGTGTCAACCAGACTAGCTGCACATACTTAGATGTTGTAGAAGCCAATGTCAAGGCCATGCTCACCCAGAGAACACAGGGTGAGGACAGAAGAGGGCCCTAGAGGTATACTAATATGATGCCCACAGGCCATGTAATATCCAATAAAGCAGAGCTTCTATCTCGCCTTTCAAACTGTAAGAATTGTTTTGTAGGGGAATTTATGCTCTGATTGTGTTGACTAATCAGATGCTCCTGGACAAAGTCAGGAGGATTGAAGACGAAAATGCAACCAATATCAAAAATGGAGAACAATGATTTCTAATTGTATGAATTGTATTCGTGTTTACATTTTTATTCATTCTATTTCTTTTCTTTCTTTCTTTCTTTCTTTTTTTTTTTTTTTAACTTGCCACAAGGCATGGGCACTCACTAGAGAGAGAGACAGAGAGAGGGAAAGGGTGGAGATGGAGAAATAGGGTGTGATCATGCCACAATCCTATCTCCTCCATTTCTCCATCTTGTTGAGATCTGGAGCACACATGCATATGTGCCTGGTGTGTTTTTCAGGTTTGGGACTCAAACCATGTGCTTGTCCGTGTAGGATCTACCTCCTTTAACCGCTAGACCATAGAGCTAGCCCCATTCTCTGTTTCTTAAAAAATGTTAAAATTTTGCTTAGCTAATTCCTAAGATTAGTCTCTCTTTCTTGATTTTCACATTAGAAATCCTGAATTAACTAACATTTTATGTGTTGCTATTTGTTATCAAGGCAGTTTTGAGTTAAATAAGCTTAAGAATGGAATTTCAAACAGAACTATAAACACTGAATATGCTAATTATTCTAATTATTCTCCCTGCTGTAGACATTGACCTGTATTTATTCTTTATATCTGTTTAAGAATTCAGCTTTTTTTGTTATTCTAAGTAGACTAAAGAGCTATTTAGATGAAGTTTACATTCTTTTTATGGAATATGACCTTCTTAATTAGGAGGGAAATGTTAACAAAGACTAATAAATAATTTTAACAAGTAAAGGAGTTATCAATTTAAGGTAAGAGATGAATGAGTTTGCATTTCAGTAGGTATTTGCGTACTGACAGTGAGGAGGGAGGGGCCCGGAGAGAAAAGTGAGGAACTGGACTGGGCAGTTCCAGTTGGACTGGACTGTTCAACTCGGTTTGCTTGTATCCATTCTCATTCAGAAGGATTCAAGGAGATCGTGTCCTTGCCTGTCTCTTGCAGACTCCAGACTTCCCTTCTGCCTTTGACCACTCCCAAGCGCTCCTTCCTATCCACCTAGACCTCCTTTCTGTCATCAGCGTCAGTTTTTCCGTTTCTCCCTTTGTGATCTGCCCCATCACACTGGAGCTGACTTGTTTCTGGCCACCAATCTTTGCCATCAGGCTTTGTACAGGCAAACTCAGCCTTGCCCTGCAGCAGCTCCCTCCTGGTGCCATGGGGCTCAGCTGTTGGCATCTGCCACTGCCTGGTTTTTCCAGATCTGCCAACTGAGAAGTCCCCCTATCCTCCCCACATTCAACTGAGCTTCACAGAAAATTCGGCACCAGTGAGCAACTGGACGTCTGTATCCGTTTTCTGGAGGTTAAAACTGATTTTGACTGTCTCCTAATCCTTTTCAGTATGGTATAGGTTTAAATTGAGAGCAGCAGAGACAAAATGATTTAACACGATGACAGTGCTAGCCTCGCCTGTTTCAGTGACACTCTAACATGGTTAAGAAAATTGACTGTCAGATGTGATCAGCGTTGTTGAAGGGAACAGCCCTCGTTGCTGGAGTGGCTGGAGTCAAATTCTCACCCAGCAGGAGCGGTTTTAATGACTGGAGAACCCAGTAACCATGAGAAACAACTGAACCTCAGTGCATGGCTGACCCCCTCCATCTCCTCTCCCTTCTATTTTTCAGGTACAACGTGTTTGATTGCTCTGCTCTCGGACAAAGACCTCACTGTGGCCAACGTGGGTGACTCACGCGGGGTTCTGTGTGACAAAGATGGAAACGCCATTCCTTTGTCTCATGATCACAAGCCTTACCAACTGAAGGAAAGAAAGAGGATAAAGAGAGCTGGTGAGCTGGCACTGCCTCCAAGGACCATCTGCCATCTTGTCTGGTGGACGAGGCGGCTTGCTTGGAGAGCGCCTGGGGGATAGCACGCCCAGTGCCCTGGTGATTAGCAGATCAGTACAGAGGTTGCTGCTGAGCTCGCCAGGCTTTGTATGGTTTCCTGTCAAATAATAGCCACTAAAGTTGCCCTTCCTAGGGACCAGTTTCCAAAAGTCCCTTGCATGGGACCAGATTTCCAAAAAGAAAAAAAAAAAAAAAAAAAAGCCACTTTTTAGTAGGAAGGGTAATAAGATCTTTGGACCTCTGGTTCCCACCTCATTCTCACCTCTTACCATACCCCACTTCCCTCCAGCCGGGCCACACTACCTGCCATTCTCCAAATGAATCTTGTTTTTCATACCTGTGTGCCTCTGCAAGGGTTCCCAGTGTAGCAGATGACATTTTCTTGTTCTTTTTTTTTTTTTGGAGAGGTTTTTGCTATAGGACGCATGCGCTCGCCAGACAGACAGAGAGAGACATGGAGACAGAAAGCGAGAAATCACCCCCCCAGGGGGGATGGTCATGCCACAATCCCTTCTCCTCCATTCTCCTCTCGGGATCTTGGGCACGCACACACACGCGCCTGGCATGAGTTCTAAACCACCGGGTCCGGGATGTGAACCACTGTCGACTATGTGGGAGTCCAGCAACATAGCCATTACACAAACTGCTGGTTCCCACATTTTCTTGTTCTTGAAGACTCTGTATAAGGGTGACATTTTGAAAGCCTTCTCTGTCACATTGTGGCCATGGCTCCCCCAGTCTGGGTGAGTTGGATGCCCCACTGTCTTTTCCCAGCATCCTCTGTGGTCACCTCTTGGTCACCACTCACAGTGCATGGATGTACTGACTTTCTTCTCTCTCTTGGCTTCCTGACCATGAGCTTTTTGAGAACAGGAACTTGGTCTTGTTCATCCCCATATCCCACACATGCTCTGTAGCAAATTTATATACATAAATGAAATAAAATAATTACTTTTAGAAATAAAGGCTTACATACCCAAAGACACAGCTAGTGACTGATGAGACCAGAAATGAAACCAGGACTGTCTTGAGCGTTTTGATTCTGAAGTTCCGGCCCTTGCCCACTGGACCATACTTTCTGAAATGTTCTTACACCTAGCTCAGTGCCTGGCGTAAGGACATGTTTCAGAGTGGGAAGAGGAGCGGCAAGACCCTTCATTCATTCATTGATTCATTATTTTAAGGGCTGGGCATACAATAGTGTCCCCTCCCTGAAAAAAACTCTCATGAAATTGGCATGAAGGTTGGTGGGGTGGGTGGAGACATCAATAAAAAGATAAACTGGTAAAAATGCATTTGTTATATAGTATATTACAAAGTGGTCACTGCTGTGGAGAGGCATGAAGCAGGTCAGAGAATGGGAGTGTCAGAGTTGTGGCTTCAAATAGGGTGATCCATGTAGGCCTCGCTAAGGTGACGTTTGAAAATAAAGTCAAAAGAGGATTATCAGTTACTATTATGTTTTCTTAATTAGATTGGGGGAGGGTTTCTTTATACTTGTGGAAAGAAAGGATTCTTTCACTCCCCACACTGACAAGTGCAGCACGCAGGTTCTTCATGATATGCCAGGCACAGGCTGGCCCCAGATGGGAGCAGGGAGGAGCTCACACACACTAGTCTGTGACCCAGAGGGGCCCCTGCTGGCTGAGTTAATCTGCAGATTGACTCTCAGTCTATACAGGTCAGCCTCTGGCCAATGAATGAATAAAACGAACCTAATCAACATGTGAGTTTTCACAGTAGGAAGCTGTACTGTTGAGTCAAAAAGTTTTGAATTTTATTACAACCCTCTGCTTCAGTGACAGCATGCTTGTGATGCAGAATAATTTTTAATGAAAGCGTGGTCAGGCTTTCTGTTGATGGGATGGCACAAATGACATTTTAGGAGTATCTGTCAAGCGTTGATGAGCTCCTGGCAGTAGGAGTGAAGTCCTCTAGCTTCCTTATTTATGAAGGCACCGTCTCCCCACAAGAGCTGGCCGTGAGCCTGGACTTAAGATACAGATAGCCTTCCCTGGCCTAAGCACAGGCAAGGACGTGTGCGCAGCACACCTGGAAGTGTCATCCTCACATCCTGCGCTCTCTTCTGAAATGTCCCTGCTGTTTTATCCTCCTCCCTCTTCCCCCCATACCCACCCCACCCAGCTATGACTCTTTAGAAAAGCAAATGTGGACACCATCTCCAAGGAGGTTAATCTAACCTGCTCTGTTTGTTTATGCAGTTTGGTCGAGGGTGTATTTGTAGTAGAGCAATAAGGACCCTTGACTGAGTTTACTACCTTTATGTATAGCTTCCTCTGATGCCACTCTTCTTTTTAGGACACCTTTGCCCCTTAGAACATGGCAATAAGCTCCAGCCAGTCTAGACCAAATACATTGCTAGTCTTTCTTTCTCTTTTCCTTTGTGGGTCCTGTAGTAACCACATCACCTGCCATTCTATGCTAGGAGTCAAGCCTAGCACATAATATACGTTCTCCCTCTACCTATCCTATGAGGTTGGTACCAGTACCCTTACTTTAAGCCAATGAGTGGAAACTCAAAGAGGCTTGCATAGGGACTAGAGGTGGCATGGTGGCTAAGGCTCTGGACTACCACATGGTCAACTGCTGTTTGAGTCCCACTCTGGTAGCTTGCTTTCTCACTTTGTCTCTGTCTCTGTCTCTCTCTCCCTCTGTGTCTTTCTCTGGTGAGCACATGTGCTCTGTAGCAAATTAATATATGTATGTGTGTGTGTGTGTGTGTGTGTGTATACATAAATGAAATAAAATAAGTAATTATTTTTAGAAATAGAGGTTTACATACCCAAAGACACAGCTAGTGACTGATGAGAGCAGAAGTGAAACCAGAGCTCTCTTGACTGTTTTGATTCTGAAGCTCAGGGCCTCACTCACAGGACCATACTTCTGAAATGTCTTCTACATCACTGTCCATAGAAGTCCTACCATGGCTCAAAGCGCAGCTTTAATACCGAATCCTCCATGATCGTCATAACTGGAAATCATCCCTCCCTTTTCCATTTGCCTACAATATTAAGCAGATACTAGTCTTCTTCCCAAAGAATACTACTTTGCGCTCGTTGTATTTAACACATGTGACATATTTCTCCTGCTAGACTTTCCACTTATTTCTAGAAAGTTCTGGATCTTGTATAACTTTATATCCCACACATTGCTTCACAAGGAGTAAGTATGTGAATGAATGAAGTTCTAATTCCTTTAAGAAAAAATAGTATGTGAAGGAATGTAGTTCTAACTCCTTTAAGAAAAAATAATAAAAAAAAATACTATTTAGTACATTCTTGGTTCAGGCACTGTGCTGATTTATATAAAATAACTCCTTTATTTCTCACAACGAAGTGGAAAGGATACTCTACCCATTTTGCAGTCAGGGAGACTGAGGAGTAGAAAGATAGCATTTCTGGCTAGCCTGTGATGTTGTGGTTAAGGTGGATGGATCCCACAAGGCCAGCTGCTCAGTTCAAGTCTTAGACTGGGCAATGTGGAAAACACACCTGGCCTATGTGCATGCACTCCCAAAATCCTGAGTGGAGAATAAAGAAGGGATTGCAGCTCTCTCTCTCTCTCTCTCTCTCTCTCTCTGTGTGTGTGTTTTTCTCTGGTGAGTGAATGTGCCCTATAGCAAATTAAAAGAAAAAAATTTTAGAGTTTTACATCCATTCACATTTGCATCCAGTCCCTTCTAGAAGTGCCAGAAATGGAATCCAAAGAGTCTGACCTGACTGTATTAAAAATGTGCTTTTCTTTCATCCCAATTCTTTTGCTTTGGTGGGGGGAGAGGGGTGTCTTTTGATAGGCACACCCAGGGGGACCTCAGGCTATATGATGTATAGCAGTGATGTTTTTGGTGCCTGTCCACCAGCCTTTCTTTCAGCATTCCTTTGTCACTCTTCTTACATCCCCACCCTCATGTTTTCTGTTGTTAATTTCTACTGCCATGGTGTTAAGTTAAATTGGATGCCCTCTCCAGTATACAGCCCTGCCCTCAGTATCCTTCATGACGTAATCTTGAAGGCATTCAAGATGCCAAGAATGAGGGCATGAGGACCTACTGGGAGAGTGTTAAACGCCAAGCCCATGCAGCAGGTTGCCACGTGGCCCTGGGGGTGATGGAGGTAAGGGGAGTGTCTACAGCCTAGTCCACATCCCAGTCCACATGCAGAGAATCAGCCTGTTGTACACACACCCAGACCACCAGGTATGTGAGTTGCCAATTGGTCAGGCTAATGGGCTCATTCTGTCTTGCAGGTGGTTTCATCAGTTTCAATGGTTCCTGGAGGGTCCAGGGGATCCTGGCCATGTCTCGATCTCTGGGAGATTATCCTCTGAAAAATCTCAACGTAGTCATCCCAGACCCAGATATCCTGACCTTTGACCTCGACAAGCTCCAGCCTGAGTTCATGATCTTGGCATCAGATGGCCTCTGGGATGCTTTCAGTAATGAAGAAGCAGTTCGATTCATCAAGGAGCGTTTGGATGAACCTCACTTTGGGGCCAAGAGCATAGTTCTGCAGTCATTTTACAGAGGCTGCCCTGACAATATAACAGTCATGGTGGTGAAGTTCAGGAATAGCAGCAAAACAGAAGAGCAGTGAACCCTTCAGGGGTCTCAGCTGCCTCAGACTAAAGGACTTTCAACACACTGGTCTCTTTTACTGTAGCGAAAGGCGTGGGAGTTGTAATTAGGATCATCCATCCCAGACACACAATCCTCCCCTCCCTGGTGGTCTTGGGTCTCCTTTCAGGATGAACAGAGGGTGCTCTTGGCCAATATAGTTGAGAGGCTGGAAAATGGTTTCTTCATGTTTGCCCAACTCTTTCATCCAGTGTCCAAAATATATAAATAGATAGCTGTAGATTCACATGTATGAAGGGAATGGTGTGTGTGCCATGTATTCTCCCTTTTAATATCCTTTTCAAGATCCTCTTCAGGCCCTCTGAGCCTCAGCCTTTGTGTCTTCTTTGGAACAGCAGGTAGGGCCAGCCTCCTGCTGCAAGAGGAAGGCCACTATGTCCCTCGTGAGTCAGGGGCTGACATGGCAACACCCTCTTCTGAGCTTGCTCTGTCCTGAGCTCAGGTTTTCCACTGGGCAGCAGCCAGAGCAGATGTGGAATGGTCTATTATGCAGGGGCTGCCTGTGGAGACTGAGGGGAGTGAGGAGGATGGGCGTTCAGTGGCGGCCACCTGCACAGCAGAAATAACCCCATTCCCGCGCTCCCTTTATTAGTTCAGTAGACCTGGTGTATACCACCTGTCCCGCCTTTATCCCAATCATGCATGACCTGAACCTTTTGCCTACACCTTGCTGTGTATACTAGGCAGCTGTTAATTTCACCACCAGACACTGTAATTTTTCACCCTACATTACCAAAAATCCATATCAAGAAATGAAACAAGCAAATCACAGTGCAGTAATTTCTTCAAGGATCGACAGAGCAGAACCGTGTAAATGAGAGACCGCGCCCCTTGGGTTAGGAGACTATTTGCACTGGGAGAGAAGGAAGTGAGCTGGGAGGTTACCAGCCCGAATTGCGCTCCAGCTGCCAATTTGTGTGTGTTCACCCCTCCCTTATCTTAGTAGCTATCAAGAGTCTTTCAAGCAGTGTTCCTGGAAGCAGCAGCTCACAGCTGCATGTGTGTTCCTTGAAGCCAGGTACAGAGTACTCTGCCCCTGCAGTGTGGAATCGGGTGGTATACTACTGGGATTAGCTTCCCCTGGACAATGGCAAAGCAGCAGCCTTTAACATTTGGTTGGAAACCTCTGTCTACACCAGTAACTTTCCCTGAGCAAACGCAGTCCCCCCGAGCCTGCAGGGCACAGCAATGGGGCACCTCAGAGACCTATTGATATGTGCAATGAAAGCTGAGTGCGAAATCAAGTGTGAACCGATATTGATAAGGTCCAGCGTCATTTTGGGGTGGGGCTTACTGCTCTCCGTTTTCTATTACCAAAGTCATGTTCTTCCAACCTCAGTATTTTATAGGTTAATTTAGAGAAAATGCTAGTTCGCTCTCCTTGCCTGAGAGAGGCAGCTCAAATAGCCAAACAAGGCTTTCCTTGCAGTCCCCACCCATCTCATGTCCACCTGGTTTTGTGCTTTGTGAGTGGGCATTTATTGTGACCTCTCTCATCTCTCGCAGGCCCGTTCTCTGGTCACCTCCCACTCATGTGGCCTGCCCTCTGCCCACGTTCACCTGTAGCTTTTCCACAGCAGGTTTCAGGAGTGAACTCTGGAGAAGGGAAACACGGCTGTGTAGCTGCCGAGGACTGCAATCTGCCTTGACTCCTCTGAGCACTTACCTTTCCTTGACTGCGGTGAAAACAAATAATGGTTTCCCAGGAGAATTGCTTACTTTTGTATATTGCGTTTTCCAGTTTTAGAATTAGAATCCTGGTTATTGGTTTTTGGCCACAGACTGTTCTAGTACAATATGTCTGCCCCCATTTTAGACTTCAGCATTTGCCTATAGAGAGACATTGAGCATTTGAATGTGTGTGTTTGGGGTGAGGGTGGGGGGGAGAATGCGGCAAACAAATCCTGGTTGTGATCAGAGATGGGACAGACAGGCTGGGTGGCTGAGTTCGCTCGGAGACTGAAGACGTTTTGACTCTGGGGCGTTGCCCCAGCCTGCCATCCAGCCAAGTTCAGGAATATGCATGTCAGCATTTTGTAATCCACAATGAACTTTCCTATTATTTTTAACTGAAAACAAAAATGTATAATAACAAGGGGGAAATTTTAAATTCCACAATTATATTTATTGTCTAAAATGAAATAGTAGTGTTTTGGTGAAGTTGAAAAGAAAATCTACTAAATTATCAAATTGGTGTTTATTTACCCTGCAAAGATTTTTAAGAGATGGTACTGAATGTACAAGGTCATGACCTTCTCTCCAATTGAGGTTTATAAGGCATCTCCACATTTTGCTTGGTAGAATTATTTCACTCCTGACTTTAACCAAATGTAACATATATTTCCTACTTGCTTTCTCTCCCTTACCCCTACTATAACTTGTAGATTTTTAAAAGATAGAAGTACTAGGCAGAATCGTAGCAGTTTAGTTAAGAGTTGTGTCTAAAGTCAGTACTTTATCTCCCTCTTCCTGTCTTCGAGCTCTGTCTCTCTGACCCTTTTCCAGCTGTTGGGGGTTCTCAGACAGTACTTGCGGAGTGCCCTGTGGGACGTTCTGTAGGGACCCAGGAAGGTCAAATCAAGCCTTTGGAGAAATTGACCTGAGAAATTTGCACGTGAAGCTTCCCTTCACAGCACTGCCAAAGCTTTGGAATTGTCACCTAAGACTGCCAGGACTGCCTAGCTAGCCCGAGTTCGAATTGCCAATAATCCCCATGGTGCCAAATTTTGGGATGTTTTACAGTCATTTAGAAATGCAAGTGGGAATGACCACATGCTTAAGATCCCTCAGCAGGCTGCCATGTCCAGGTCCTCATGAATGTGTGGCTCTACCCCACCCCACTGGTCATCTGTACTCTTTAAATGTTGTGGGATGGGGAGCAGGGACATTTTTTAAAAAATTATTGTATTTGCAATTCTTTAGTGATATGAATACATAATGTGTATGTAGAAAGTCCCCAAGCTAATGCCCAAGACCTGCGTTTATTTTTTGTGACCAACGTGCCCAAGGCAGTTCAGCATGACTGTCTGCCTATGTACACGTGACTGGTGACCAGCAATTCTGTTCTGTTCCTTGCTTTGTGTTGAGGGTACTGGCCTCTTGAATCTTGTATACATGGTAAGAGTGTTACACAGAGTGTTACGGTGAAGGAGCATATGTGATCTGGACCATTTTAAAGAGGCCTTACTTCAAAGTGTTAACGATTTCAATATTTTGTGAAAATGGCAAACAGGATTGCTTGGGAGCCCTGGCATCATTTCAGTCCAACTAGAAGTGTTTCTAGGGAACTGAATACACTATTGGATTGGACCACCGGAGTATCTAGCACCACATGTGAGATGAACAGAGAATGAGTGAGTACTTTGTCCTTTGCCAGGTAGACCTTGATTTTCTTGATTTTTATCCACCCCCTACCTGTTGCCACATCTAAGTCTCCTGCAACTGAGTTGGACTGAGGTTTAGAAGGGGCAAAATTTCACTGTACATCTGAAAGTACAAGAAGTACAAGTACTTTGTTTAGAACTTCATTTTCCAATGATTTCAGACATGACTCTTTTCTCCTTTCCACCCATCTTTCCACTGATCTTCCCATAATATTGCCCTCAGATTGCCTTTGCACGTCACACCAGCATTCCTGATCCAGCTCTGGAGAAATGATATGATTATTAGATACCACACTGTGGCCTGTTTAATTGCATCTCGATTCAATGATCAATATCTAAACTTTTGAGATAGTTAGCTGCATGCTGTAGGAATAATACAATCTAATGTTCCCCCAAAGTGTGTTCCAAAGAACCCAAGCTCCACAAGTGGTCTTCTGAAGTCAGGGTTCCGGTATCAAATGAGTTTGGAAAACCCATTTGTCTTAGAAAATTAGCACATATAAACACATTATAGGCTCCAATATAAACGTCGTGCAGGGGAGGGAAAAATGCACATGTGTATTTTGAATTAGCCCATTGTTTTCCAGATGAATTTGACCACTAAAATATTTTGAATAACATTCAAAAACAAAACAAAACTTGTTCCATAGAACCCACTGTGAGAAATTCCATTATATTGAAATATTGCCATTTTCTCATTCACCGTGACTTTTAGTAGTAGCAGTACAATTTGCAATTTAGAAGCACTGGTCCTTTCCATCCGAGGCTGACTTGCTAACATAAGCACTGGTAAGAAAAAGCATGATTGAATATGACTGCCAGCAGCGTCACGTTGACAGCAGACATCCAACACTCGTGTCTGAAGCTCTAAATGTCTTTGTTCTAGGTAGGAGAAACGCGAGGTGGGCATTTCTCAGATCCATTCCGAGAGCTTTTGGTTGCTTTTTTGTAGTTATCTTTTGCTTCCCAGATGCATCAAAACAAATAGTCCTATGTTCTATCATTCTGTGATAGTACAATATAGAGAGACAATACAGGGATAGGGATAAAAGGGAACAGTGGGTTCTAATTCATCTTTGAAATTTTAACTAGAATTTTAAAATGATCTGTTGTATAATAATGGAAATGTAAAACTATGAACAAATACTCTTTCCTCACTCGTTCCTCTGTTACTCTCTTCTGTGAAGTAGCTTGAAGTTAGTGAGGGCCCATTCGTTCTAAAATTCCTGTCCATGGCCATCCCACCTTCCACATTTTCTGTTATGGTTAAGTTTGGCAAGTTCTCTCTTACCTGGGATGTAAAGCTTCACTATTATTCCATAACAGTTGCTCTCACCCTGCCAGTGTATTTGGGAAGCTATGAGAACCCCAAAATAAGGGAGGAAACATCTGGTCAAAAACATGCGGTACCCAGTGAATTTAGGATAAAGTCATTAATTTAAAATTACACTTGGGCCAGCAGATGGCATGTAGGTTAAGGTGCTGGATCCCACATGGCCGGCTATGTGGTTTGAGTCCTGGACCTGGCAGCTTGAAAATCACTCTGGGTGTGAATACATGTGTGTTCAAAATCCTGAGAGAAGAATGGAGAAGGGATTGTTGCATGGCCATTCCCCCCGAGGGGAGATTTCTTTATTTCCCTCTCTCTGTCTCACTCTCCCGTAAGCATACGTGCTCTATGGCAAAACATCTTAAAAAAAAAAAAAACACATAGTATTTAGGAATACACTCTCCCTCTGACCACTGTCGAAAATAGTAAAACACTGAGAGTAAGATCCCTTAGGCTAGACAGCAGATTGCAAAGGGCAAAGGACAGTGGATACTGTGAGACTTCCAATAAATACGTGTCTTTAAACATGTTTTCTAATATGTACATTTTTGCTGATTCTTAGTAATGCTAATGCCTTGTCTATTATTTGTTATATTTTACTCCTGTTAAGCTGCAAACTGTTAAGCCAAGGGTGGATGATGAACATTTCCATGTGCTTAGTGCTAACCACACCATCCTATGTACAATTCATTTTAATAAATCCAAGTTAAGGACTTCGAGGAGCGGATATAGTAATTGTTTATTTTAACCGATTATCATGGACATATGCAAAGCTCCACCAGAAAGAGAGCATGCAGCAAACGTACACACTGTTTAGAGGTGTGGTTCCTTTATTCTAGATGTTCCACAATCTAGCATTATTTAACCACAAAATTCTTCTGTCTTTTGCTCAATCCAGATTATTCTCGAAAACCGTCAAGAACCCCAGCATCCCTAGCTCTGGGCACAAGACCTCTATAAAGAGTCCGGTGACAGATTACGATGGGTGGAGGGCTGAGAGTCCTCCTGCATCACTTGCTGTCTCTTCATGAGAGGGACTTATCTGCCACTCATTCTGTCTTTGCCACGAGGCAGTTCAGCAGTTACTAAAAAAATGTGCTGTTATACATTACCTCCAAATATTTCTATTTTAATTAGACAGTTTATAATTTAAAGTGTGATCATACAGGTAGAAGCCAGGTAGAAGTTCATAGCCAAGTAATTGGGGGTGGGGAGCAGAGTGACAAACTTTAGAGTACTCAGATGTTAAACATGTGAAAAAAAAAAGTAAGTTATCAGAAATTTGAGTTATGAGACGTTCATCGTAGATTGAATTCAATAGTTATTTCCTGATATCTGCTCGTAGATCAGTTGAGACCAGTTGTTAAAACTTTTCACTGTTGAAGCTTCCGTTGTAGAATCTAGAGTATTGGCTCATGCTTTGCTTATGTGTCAACAAAGACAGCATTGTAAAGCTTCCTTTTTATATAACTGATGGCACAGGTAGAATCACACTGAAGAAAAATAGTTTGAAGCATTTCTAAATAAAAATGAAAATTTCCAATGCAGTTGTAGTTAGAATGCAAATAAAAGTGTTTTAAAGCATTAAAAACAAAAGCAAAGGAGACTAGTATATGAAAGGAAATACTTTAAATTAAGAAAAGGCATTATATTTTATTACATCATGCATCATGCTTTCTGATATGTGTACTCTTACTGAAAGTAAGGAGGCAGAACTTAAGTGACGAAATGAACATTTGGAGTCTTGTAAAGTTAGGAAAATTGTAGGCCCTTTTCCATTTTTGTCCCAGTGGAAGTGGATGGTTGTATTCTCATCTATTACTATCCTAAGTACTTTTTACTATCTTGGGTTCCGTTCATGTTCCAATTCGTGGACATTGTTTTACTCTGAATTCTTAGAATTTTTACATTTTTCAGAGAAGAAATGCCCCTTTTTAGTTTTTTTTAGATGTTTATGTGTTTATTTCATGAGAGAGACAGGTGCCATGGATAAGGTTTCATCATGCCATAATCTTTCCCCCAGCCCCCCAGCACCCAAGGTCATAGGCACTCCTGGGCACAGCCAGAGTGTTCAGGTCAACCTGGGATCCGAATGCAGGCCTCCCATTGGCTCTGGTATCACGTAGTGGTGCCTTACTGCCTGTGCCACCACAGCTGGGGCCCCTTGTAGAATTTCAAAAGATGCCGTAATAGATGAATGGCTGACTTCCCATTTTAGAGTGCCCAAAGGAAACTGAATTAGATAAACATAGTCACGGCTACAACTGAGAGGGGGTGTTAACTGACTAGTAGTTTCCAAATGCCAACACGAGTACTAGTGAGTATTCAATTGAAAATAGACAGTTCCACAAAAATAAACTACAGGGTGATTCAACATTCTTGCTTCTTGAAGAGTTGTCTAAGCCATATAAAGCAAAGGGTTCTGTTGATAACAACAATTTTAAAAATCCTATAGATATGATAGATTCGGCATCTCTAAGCTAAGATAATGTTATTTCTTGTGTAAGTTTTAAATTCTGATCTCTGTAAGGACAAACGGTGACTGCTTAGTGTAATAATGAGGAAGTATAACTCCTGCTGTATGGAGAAAAGCTAGAACCATGGAACATTAAGCAAAAGTTTTTCTTATTTAGGTTCCAAGACTACAACCAAATAGTATGTATTTACCTTCTTTTTTTAAAAAATTTTTAATATTCTTTCATAGTGCACATGTGCTCACTGGAGAGAGAGAGGAATATTGAGAGATCATCCTTCGGGGTGATGGACATGACACAGTTTCTTCTCCTCTAGTCTCTTCTTGGCATTTTGGGCTCATATGAACACTTACCCAGCATGATTTTTTGAACTGTTGGATCCAGGACTCGAACTGTGGTTGGCCCTATGGGAGTCCAGCACATCAACCTGCTAGCCCCTGTATTTTTTCATCTCAGGTGTATATACTGAAAGTAGATGAGAGGGGGTGTTAACTGACTAGTAGTTTCCAAATGCCAACACGAGTACTAGTGAGTATTCAATTGAAAATAGACAGTTCCACAAAAATAAACTACAGGGTGATTCAACATTCTTGCTTCTTGAAGAGTTGTCTAAGCCATATAAAGCAAAGGGTTCTGTTGATAACAACAATTTTAAAAATCCTATAGATATGATAGATTCGGCATCTCTAAGCTAAGATAATGTTATTTCTTGTGTAAGTTTTAAATTCTGATCTCTGTAAGGACAAACGGTGACTGCTTAGTGTAATAATGAGGAAGTATAACTCCTGCTGTATGGAGAAAAGCTAGAACCATGGAACATTAAGCAAAAGTTTTTCTTATTTAGGTTCCAAGACTACAACCAAATAGTATGTATTTACCTTCTTTTTTTAAAAAATTTTTAATATTCTTTCATAGTGCACATGTGCTCACTGGAGAGAGAGAGGAATATTGAGAGATCATCCTTCGGGGTGATGGACATGACACAGTTTCTTCTCCTCTAGTCTCTTCTTGGCATTTTGGGCTCATATGAACACTTACCCAGCATGATTTTTTGAACTGTTGGATCCAGGACTCGAACTGTGGTTGGCCCTATGGGAGTCCAGCACATCAACCTGCTAGCCCCTGTATTTTTTCATCTCAGGTGTATATACTGAAAGTAGAATAATAGAACAGTGGACAAAACCCATAACTTTCCCTTCTGTTCTAGAAAGCATTGTTTATGCTTTTAAAAATATACATGTTCACGTGAAAACATTCTCATCTTTCAGTTATTTTTCAGTTACTAAAGCAAATGGTTTTGACTTAGAGCACTTACACAACCTCACATCTGGTTCTAGCATTCTATTTAATGATGTCTCAACATCTTCTGGGCAGCCCGGAAAAACAAATCGAAAACAAAGAAGAAGAAATTGTAGTAGGTTCAGACAAATGATTCCTCTGACAAGCCTGGAAAATAATAGTTAAACGGTAACTCCCAAAGGCTCCCAAAGTGAAAGCAAACTGTTTGAAGTGTTCTTTTAATACAAGCATAATCGCATTTATAACAGATTGCCCTGCCTGATGAACGGGTTTCAGCGGTAAAGTCACTGATTTTTTTTTTTTGCATCTGCTTGTATGTTTTATTCTCTCTGTTGTTACTTTTTCCTGAGCACTTACCATGTCCCAGACAGTGACTGGTGAAATGAATGGCTCTAATGGTGGTCTTGAGCACTGTCACTGCCCACTTGGGCATACAGTCTGCTGGGGCCCTCACCAATGGGTTGAAAATTGGCATCTTCCCTGATTTCCTTCAGTGGGCTCAGGTTTGTACAGACAGGGCAGAACCACAGTCATTATTTTCTCCACATAAAGGAGAGTGATTGGTAGGAGGTGATTGGAAATGTCTTGCCCACATCCAAGCTAACTGCATCTAATAATTCCTCCTTTTTACTAGGTCACCCGAGGATGGAATGGAGTTGCGAGTCAGTAGATGTCTCTGGGGACCTGGACGGGGGCCAGGGGAGAGGGAGGGCTTTCACAGTTGGGTGCCAGTGGAAGCCCCCACCTGGGTGAGACAGTGGCTAGGCAAGGCCTCAGTGGTAGCTGCTCAATGCCACATCATCTCTCCTTCCAGGGTCCTCTGGAGGAAGAAGAGAATTATAGAAAAAGATAAAAGGGAAAACAGGGACAACTCTCCAGGGCTGATTTTAATTTTTGTCCCCAGCAGACATATTAAGTATAACAACCTCATGTCCCCAAGAAGAACTCAGAACTGACAGGACTTATTTTCAGTGAGTATATAAATCAGTGAAAATCAATGTATTTCAGGATCATAATTATTCCTTGATTTCGATACGAGCCGAAGATTTAAATGGCAGAGTTTTTAAATCCTGAGTTTAGGGCCCGGCCATGGTGGTGCAGAGGTGGTGCAATGCTGGAGGCCATATGGAAGATTGGGGGTTGTTTCCTGGGTCAACCTGTACCTACCTGGCATGTGTGTGCTGGTGATCCCTGGCTGGCTGGGAGACCGCGGGGGAGGATTGTGGTGTGACACCCTGTTGAGGGTGCTTGTCTTTCTCTGTCTCTCATGAAAGAAAGTAGGAAAGAAACTTTTTTAAAAATGATAAATTTGGTATCCATAGTTACTTTATACATTCCAGAGTTTAGGCATGGAATTTGAGTTTTGTTTTTGAACAAGAATAGCAACATCTATTTTCTATAAGGCAAAGACAAACTAAATATCAAACTTTTATTTTTAACCACAGAAGCCATCGCTTCTTTCTAAATTCTTCACCTGCTTTGTCATTCTCTCTAAATATCTTTACGTTTATGTCAGTGGCTTCCTTATTGAGGTAATATTATCATCCCCAAAGTAGAATCATAATGAACTAAAATAATCATTTTCTATACATCAGTTGCCCCTAACCTTCCCAGCACCAGGGACCAGCCTCATGGAAGAAAATCCCTCTATCTCCCAGTTGCAGGGGGGGATAAAGAAGGGAGCTTGGTACCGAGAAATGGCACCCCATTTCCACCATTGCCACATTGCAATATACAATGAAACCATCACACAACCGAGTTCATGCTCCCATGAGAGTCCAGTACCAGCACTGATCTGACAGGAGGCAGATCCCGGGTGGCAATTCCAACAACGGGGACTGGCTGCAAACACAGACAAAGCCTCACTCACTCACCACCCCCTGCGACCTCGTGTGTGTGTCACAGGGGGTTGGGGGGGTGCCAGTAGGCCATAGACCTGATGTCACCAGTCTATATCCTGGCCTCCAACAGGCCTCAGACCAATGCGAGTCTGCAGCCCAGGGTTGGCAATCCCTGCTATATACAACAGAGTGAAAGGTGAGAGAGAGTGTCTCATTGTGATCAGAAGTGGGATTTTGTTGTTTTGGTTTTAATTATGAGAATTTAGGAAATTTAAGTCTAGCCATTTTCTGATTTGGTAAGATTAAAACCATAGGTGAAGTCTAATTATTAAGGGAGGAAAGGAGGAACTGATCGGACAGAGGGAGAGAAAAGTGGAAAGACAATTAAAAACACCATATTTGAGTACTGTTTTTGGTGAGTGGTATCATATCTCAAAAAATTCTGATCTCTTACCCTGCCGAATTTTGGAACTTATCTCCATTTTGACATCATGCACATTTCCTTGCTACTTTAAAAATAACCAGGGGTTGTTGGTTTATGAAAAGATAGCAAGTTCCATCGTATACTAGCAATGTTATCCTTTAGGGATTTCAAATCATATTTAGCAATAAATCACCGGTCAAAATGACACCTAGTAAATGAGTTCCTAAAAACCATTCATGGTAAATATAATAAAACCTTGGCAAATCCTCATTACTCTTGGCACTGTTCAAAAGTTTCGAATACCGATTATTCTCAATTTGTCTCAGTTTGGGTCAGTTACAATGTCGGTCTGGTGTAGTGTTACCTGTAGTAGAGCTCAGAGTATGCAGCAGTGCATGGTCACCCAAGATGCATGGCGTGTCATTCGGTCCCTTTGATGTGTGCTGGGGGAGTCAGCATTGTCAAGATAATGTGTCATGCAATCACTGATCCTGTGTTGTATACAAAAGGAACAGCTAAAATTCACCCTTGATGACAAGATTAAAGAAAAATAAACACATTAAAGTTATTAGACTTTACACGTGCGACTGCTACTGTTCTTTTCTTTTTGTTAAACTCTGTTTCCATTCTTATGTTTGTTCTGAAGTTTTATCATTTCTCTATGCTTTTGAGTTAGAGTAACTTTAGGTTTGGGATTCGACATAGAAAGCTGAGAACTAACCCAAGGGTAGACAGTGAGACCAAAGCCCAACAGGAGGCCAAGATAGGAACTGTCATGACTTAGTTACTTTCATTTCCAACAGGACTACCCTAGCTCTGGTTTGACACAGTCATTGTTTAAATGTATACAAATGGGGACCAGCAGATGGCATAATGGTTATGTTGCCAAACACCCATGTAGTTGACCACAGTCTAAATCCCAGAGGCTTAAAACTCATGCCAGGTGTGTGTGCACGTGTGTGCACGTGCACACATGCCCAAACTCCTGAGAGAAGAATGGAGGAGGGATTGTGGTGTGGTCATCTTCCTGGCGAGTGATTTCTCATTTTCTATCTCTCTGTCTCTACCAAGCACACATACCCTATAGCAAATATTTTTAAACTCTCTTTAAAAAAAAATGTATACAAATGTATGCAGTGGAAAAAAAGTTTATTATTACCATAACACAACTTTTTCTCCTGGCTTATATTAACACAGCTACAAAGCATATATAGTGTAATAGGTAACAAGGGTTAGCTTAGCTATACACACGTAGAGACACTGGCCATATGGCATGACTCAGAAGGGAGTCCAAAACAGAATATCCATCTGCAAGGGTTTTTGCAAGATGAAAAAAAAAAAAATCACTGTGGAATTTGGAGACAGTAAAACATGCAACCCTATTTTAGGTTTTCTGAAGATGAAATCCTCCAATGGGAATAGGCCCTAGGAACTTAATGAGGAATAAAAGTCAGTCATCAAACTGGGCTGACTCCATGGCACAGCAGCAATGTGCTATTCAAGGGAAGCCAGATTCCACATGGCGATGATGGTTTGAATCCCCAGCCCAGTCAAACTGGGCATAGGCACAAGTGTCTAAATTTTGATGGTTTGGAGGACTAGAGGAATGGAATTGTGACATGCTCAGACCCTGTAAATGTTAGAACTTTTGCTCATACACCTAAGATCTAGCATAAATTAAAAAAATAATTAAGTCAATCACCAGATTGCTGAATTTGGAATTTGGCATAACAAAGCAGACCATTGTGGTTCTTTGCTGTCTTTATCCTTTTATTTAAAATAATGTGTGATAGGGACAGCCAGTGGGATGGTAGTTAAAGCAGCTGGATCCTACATGGCCAATTGCATGGTTTGAGTCCAGGATCTGGAGCTTGAGAAACACACTAAGCACATGTGCATATGCGCCCAAAATCCCAAAAAGAGAAATAGAAAAGGTACAACATGGCCATCACCCATTGGGGGTGCCTTCTCATGTTTCTTCAATGTCTCTACCTCTCCTCAGTAAGTGCACATGCCCTCTAGCAAAAGTAATAATATTGGTCTTTTGCCTCTTTCTCTGGGTAGAAAATTATCATAGAAATGATGGAAGTGATTAGATTTTTGGATATTTATCATCTGGATTAGAATAGGAATTGTGGACTTTTCCAGCACCTAGACTCAAAGAAAAAGGAATCAACAACCACACACCTATCATCACTTATTAGTGAAGGGCTATTTGTAGGCTCTCTCCTTCCCTCTCTCTCCATTCCTCACTTCCCCACAAACTATTTATTTTACTGTAACAATAATGTAGTGACAATTTACCTGGTTTTTTGAGGTAACACCAGCAGATCCCAGTAGCTTAAGAAGCGAGAGCACTTGAGGCCAGCAGGTGGCATGAAACTGTTGAGAACTGTTCGACAGTTTGAAAGAAATTTAAACACACATTGACCCTGTGGCCCAGTAATTCCATTCCTACATGCTTACTTGAGAGACGTAAAAACAAATTCACAAACATCTTGTACAAAGATCTTCAAAACAGCCTTATTCATAATTGCCCCAAACTAGAAACAATCCAAATGGATAAATAAATTGTTGTTTACTCATACAACAGAATAATATTCAATGAAGAGAATAAACTGATACACAAGAAATGGATTAATATCAAGTACATTACATTAAGTCAAAGACGCAAGAATGATAAGAATGTATACTACATGAATTGATCCATTTATATGAAATCCAAAGCAGGCCAAACTCAATCTACAGTGTGAAGAGATCAGAAAATAATTGCTCTATATTGAGGTGGGGTGGGGTTGTGATTGATTGGAAAGCAGCATTTGGAAGCTTTCTGGGATAATAGACATGTTCTATTATTTTCCCTATGTGGTGGTGGTTACATGTATGTATAAAACTGCCCAAGTTCCTTAAAATGAGCACTTAAATTTTGTGCATTTTATTGTATACTAACTATATCTCCATTTAAAAGATATTTATAATACCATGAAAAACTTTAAACTATGGAGTCAGCAGTGGCATGGTGGTTGGGGTGACTGGATCCCACATGGCCAACTGCAAGTTTGAGTCCTGGACTTGGTGGCTTGAGAAAGATTCCAGGTGCGTGTGTGTGCTTGCCCAAAATCCAGAGAGAGGAAGAAAAGGGATTGTGGTGTGGCCATCTCCCCTGGGGGGTGCTTTCTCTCTCCAGTGAAATACCCTCCAGCAAATTAAAGGAAAGAAATAAATTATTTAGATTAAATCTAATAAAAATGTTTAAGATAGGTTGGAAATGTCAGATTATTGCTGAAAGAAATAAAAGAAAATCTAAATCTAAAGACCACATTTATAAATAGGAAGACCTAATGTTATTAAAATGTCCATTTCCCCAGTTTTTACATTTAAGGCAATCCCAACCAAAAGCCTAGAGACTCTTCAGAGAAATTGGCAGGCTGTGGGAACCAGCAGATGGCATAATACACAAGAAATGGATTAATATCAAATACATTACGTTAAGTCAAAG